AAAAATTAAATATGTAAATACGTTAAAAAATAAAATAAAATAAATAATTAAAAAATATATAGATGTGTGTTATTTCGTTCTAACTGTTATATATTTATATATGTTATATATTTATATCAAAATACACGTAGAACGAAATAAGATATATATATCACTATATATACCTATATATAAATAAAAATATTTTAAAAAATATATATATGGGGGCATGGCCTGACCGTTCATGAGGACAGACGTGTGAACGTTCAGCTCCGTGAGCGATCCCCGCAAAGCAGCGATTAGAATAACATTCAGAGAGAGATCACCCCCTTTTCCACAAGCTAGGAATCTACCACCATCCTAGTCATCATGGCACAGCGCCCCCCAAAAAGAGCGAAAGCGAAAGAGGCCCCCAACTTGCAAATTTCGGCCATGGCCTCACCTCCTCGACGCTCACAAGATGGCGCCGAGAGGCCTACATCACCGGCCTCGAGCTCCGGACGGAGCGATATCACCTCGGTCTCCCATAGAGACCTCCCTGCTACAGAATCAGCGATTCAGAAGATGCTCAATGGACTTCAAGCGTCCCTACGCTCAGACTTTGCCCAGCTATCAAAAGAAATCAGAGCAGAAGTTAAAGCATTGGGTGATCGTACAGATTACCTGGAAAATAAAACCGAGGAAATCATCACGGCACATAATAATGTGGTGACAGCCTTTGACTCCATGGAGACCAAGATCAACATGATTCTCACAAAACTTGCCGACCACGAAGACAGGGACAGAAGGAACAATGTCCGCATAAGGGGCATACCAGACAGTGTGGGCCCACATGAGCTGGGAGACTACGCGCGCCAGATTTTTCACCTGCTGACCCCGGATCTTCCAGAGTCCGCACTGCTATTAGACAGGATCCATAGGCTACCTAGGCCTCAGCACCTACCACCGTCAGCTCCCAGAGACACCATAACACGGGTGCACTATTACACCACCAAAGAGGCCATAATGTCAGCCGCTAGAAAACGACCTAACCTGCCTGAAGAATTCAACAAAATTCTATTGTTTACAGATCTCTCAGCCCACACGTTAAAGGCCAGGAGAAACTTCGCGCCGATAACAAGCGCTTTAAGAGCGGCAGAGATCCCCTACAAATGGGGCTTCCCGACACGCCTCATCGTCAAACGGAACGGTAATGAAAGACACATCGGGAACCTGGAAGAGGGAAAAAAAGCACTGGCCGATTGGAACATACCCGTCAACACAGACCCCATAGATGGCATGGATACAGCCTCTGCACCCAGGTCACCTCTAAAGATCACCCAAGATTGGGAAACTCAACGCACAGATAAGTGCAACATATAAGCCTATGCAGACCTTTGCCCAATGGACTAGTTCTTAAAATGCATGCTCAAACGTTGCTCTGGACTGGTAATATCTAATTACTTTGCTATATATGTATAGTTCTCCTCGAGATTTGTGGCACTAATAGTAAGGTGGTCGCAGGTTTTAGACCTACAGTCCTAGGTCCCCCTACGACTCTCTCTTACATGAGCCCCCTCCCTAGCCACACACTCAAGCATGACAACTAAAAGAGAGTGAACCGGGCTATATCCCCACACATGGTTGTCTCAAGTGAGGGGTCTACCGCACTCTTTTAATGACCCACTAGAACCCCGAGATTAACGCATACCCGGGGTAGCACCGCAGTGCTGCTAGATCTTTAAAAGGCCTGGCTGAGCTCATGCGCTCCATAGCCCTATTACTACACGTAATTCCTTCCCGAGCCTCTCATACTAGACTGGCTCATGCTACAGGCATGAGATGATGATGACAATGTTGTTACATTCCCACCGAGTTCCACGGTGTATTTATATATATATTTTTTTTTTTTCATTTGATGTTCAATAATATATTGTTTGGTTGGTAACCCGTTTTACACTGTGAGCACATGCTACTATATATATAATACCAGACTCAAAGTGTAATCTTGTACATGTACGATATGTATCCACCTCTGGACACACTCTGACACTGACAGAAATTCTATTTCAAGAACCAGAGGTAAACGTATACCGAATGTTTGAGGTATAACACGCTATAGATTACTAGCTTTCCCACAATGCCACACTGTTGCCAAGTCCTACGGAAACCTGGGAGATGTCTTGATCAATCTATAGGAAATGATCTCTCTCACCGCATATGGGGATCCTCCAACCCTCATAAGGGCTTCAATGCCCAGAAACACCAGTATTATCAGGTCTCACTTTAGAGACCTTTTTAATGTACATAGTTGGTTCGATTTTCCCAGTTACTTCCCTCACCCCCCAACCCTACCTCCCCGCAAGGTGATCGCGTACTGCCACAACAAAAATATCAAGAACTTTTCTACATGGCACAAGTCATCCCACTCATGCCCTCTAGAGACCCAACGAGTTACACATTGGGTGTATAATACAACGATACCTAAACGTCATGACCAGCCACCTACCATCTCTTCTCTCCTACCATTCACGAAAGACCAGCAATTTATTCTAGGATTCCCCATTAACACACCATGACACTTAACATTCTATCAATGAATGCCAAAGGGTTGAACACACCACATAAAAGACGCATGGCCCTTTTAGAAGCAAAGAAACAGAAAGCTCATATAGCATTTTATCAGGAAACCCATTTCCAAACATCTAACCAACCCAAATTCTTCTCCAGACACTTCCCAACAAATTACCACAGCACATAAAAGACAAAAAAACGACTCGTCTCCATCCTAGTTAGTAAAGACATGACATTCCAACTAGTGAAAAAAATATGCGACAAAAAAGGCCGCTACCTCTTAATTCAATGCATTATTAATAATGCACAATATACCTTAGTCAATCTCTATGGATCACACACTGACTGCCATACCTTTATTGAACACATCTTAGTTCTGGCGTCCGCTTACCAATTTGGGTAGGTTATTATAGGGGGAGACACAAATTTCATTTTAGACCAAACTTTAGATACTACTTCTTCCACCAAAATTTCGCAACAAACAACGAATCAAAGAACTCGCTCCATATCCCTTATAGACAAAGCGCTACTTACACACGACTATACTGATGCGTGGAGAACCCTTCATCCTCTAGACAGGGACTTTACGCACTACTCCCAGGTTCATGACACATATTCCAGAATCGACCGTTTCCTTATTCCCTCGACTCTAATTCCGACAATAGTTAAAGCAGACATAGGCATCATTACGTGGTCGGACCACGCCCCGATTACAATATCCCTAGCCACACAATATCCCATTTCTGGGACCCGCACGTGGCCCCCTTAACGATTACCTCTTAAAGGACGAGGAATTGGTCGCACAAATCAAAAGAGAACTCCATTCATACTTTGTATTAAACGATACAGGAGGGATGAACATAGACAATCTGTGGCAAGCGCACAAAGCCGTCCTTAGAGGGCAGTTCATTAAACATGCTAGCCACAATAACAAAAAGAGAACCAAACACTATATAGATACACATAAAGAACTAGCCACACTCACACGCACAAACAAGACAAGCCCATCTCACACTACCACTACACTGATCCGTGAGCTACAATCTACCTTGAAAGATATAGAGATGGAAAAAACGACCTACCGCTTAACAAAATTGAAACATAAATTTTTCCATACCGGAAACAGAGCAGGGAAAACTCTGGCCGCGCAACTTAAAGCGAGATCCCCATCGTCTAAAATCGCCTTCCTTATCTCAAGCCAAGGCAAGAAAATCATGGACCCTCAAGAGATAGTAGACGAGTTTAGCCAATATTATAGCGGCCTCTATAATCTAGCAAAGTCACAAGACAGTCCCCCCACTAAGCAAACTGATATAGACATGTTTCTGCAAGATACTGAATTGGCATCTCTTACCCCAGAAGAGTGTCAAGCCCTAATTCAACCCTTCTCAGATCAGGAAATAATTGATACCCTCAACCAATTACCAAAACACAAATCTCCAGGCCCAGATGGCTTTACAAATCTATACTATTATACGTTTCGAGACACCCTTTTACCATATATGAAGACATTCTTTAATCGATGTTTTCAAACAAGTTCCATGCCCACAGCAATGCTACAAGCCCACATTTCGACCTTACCAAAACCTGTGAAACCACCGACTCAATGCTCTAATTTCCGACCTATATCCCTGCTAAATTGCGACACTAAAATATATGCCAAACTGCTTGCTAACAGAATGAGCCCGATACTAACCCGCATCATACACAATGATCAAGCAGGCTTTGTCAAAGGCAGGCAAGGATCCGATAATACCAGAAAAATCCTAAACATTCTCTCCCACATTGCGGACCAAAAAACTGAAAGCATATTATTGGCTTTAGATGCTGAAAAAGCCTTTGATCGGCTTAACTGGGCTTATATGGTATCAGTGTTAAACAAATATGGTTTCCCATAAGAAATGACCCGAGGTATCCTGGCGCTATATAAATCCCCAACCGCGCAAGTGTCTAGCTCAGGCTTCACCTCACGTCCTTTCGCTCTCTCCAACGGCACTAGGCAAGGCTGTCCCCTATCCCCTCTTCTATTCATCCTCGCCCTAGAACCTTTAGCGTATAAAATTAGAAACGACCCATCGATATCAGGAATAGACATAGGCCCCTCGACCTTTAAATTATCAATGTTCGCAGATGATATTTTATTGACAATTGGAAACCCGACGTCTACAATACCTCGCCTCCTCTCCCTCCTCCACGATTATGGTAAAATATTGTACTATAAACTTAATAACACCAAGACACAAGCACTACCCCTCCACATACCAATCACACAAGTCAACCTGCTTCGACAATCTTTTCGTTTTGACTGGAGACAAGACTTTATTACCTATTTAGGAGTGAAGCTGGCGCTACACCCCCACAAAACGCTGTCACTGAACTATGGGCTGATATCACAGACCTGTAAGTCGCTATGTAAACACTGGAAACACGTACCCTTATCATGGTTAGGACGGATAAACACCGTCAAAATGGTGCTGCTACCAAAAATCCTCAACGTATTTCGAATGCTACCGATACAAGTACCACCACAGACCCTCAAGAACATCCAAGCTATAATAGCCAGATTCATTTGGAACAAAGCTAAACCGCACTTACATATAACTATATTGCAGCAGCTCCAATCTAGAGGTGGTCTAGGGCCGCCCAAGTTAACCTCGTACTATGAAGCTGCCATTCTAGACTCCGCTATTCGATATCACGCTCCTAAACACACGTTTCAATGGGCTGATATGGAATCTGATAGATCCAAACCGCACTCCCTACTCCACGCCATGTGGTCTCCTAAGACCCATCGGCCACCGAAATTGTCACTATACCCCACCTCTGTACTGATGCTTAAATACTGGGACAGGCTGATGGCTACAATAACCGAGATAGGGAAATTCTTCATACATGCCCCGATCGAAGCTTTGGCCAGATTGACGCCTTGGTTGTCCTTGAAGACCTGGACCAAGTATGGCGTGAAAATTATCAAGGACATATGTACACAGAAGGGAATCAAGCCATTCCCAGCCCTACAAACCCAATACAACATACCTAACTCTTGTATTTTTCAATACCTACAGGTAAAAAGTGTCATCTCCACTCACGTAACCTTGAACCCCCAGATTCAACCATATAGGCTAAAAGACATGACAGAGATCTTTTCTAGATGCCACAAGTCACCACTAAAACCCAAAGCCCTGTCGTTATGCTACAGGACCAACCTTGACTATAATACCCCCCGCTCATTCACCTACGTACAAAAATGGGAAAAAGAGGGAATACCTACAATTACGGACTCACACTGGCTTTCGGCGCTTACTGCTCTTTCAGGCCTCACCTCCTGCTTCTCACACGTGGAAGCGCACAAAAAGGTGTTATATAGATGGTACCTCACGCCCCAAAGGCTTCACCAAATATATCCCAATACAAGCCCAACATGCTGGAGATGCCTGACAGATATAGGCACCATGACGCACATATGGTGGGAGTGTAAAGAGATTTCACCGCTCTGGTCACAGGTCCACTCACTCATGCAACAACTAATCCATCTTCAAGAACCCCTATCGCCGACACTAACACTCCTACTGATCTTCCCTACACAGTGGAAGAAAGCAGATAAAAAGATAGCATCCTTAATAATTCTAGCAGCGCGACATCTCATAGCCCAAAACTGGAAAACCACCAGATGCCCCTCCCGAAAAGACCTTCTCGATAGGATAACTCTTTACTATAAATATGAGCTGTTAGCTTCCGCCTCCCATGAGCTCAATGCACAGACTGTTAAGATCTGGAAACCATTTGTAGAAATGACACACCAAACCACTTCCACAGACAAAGTGACCAAAGATAGCACCTCATAAACACCATAGGTACTGAAAGCCAAGGCCATCCCCAAGTTAGAGGATTTAGAAGGACGATCTAGCTTTAGGACAATAATAGACGACAATTATCTAGGGTCCCCAAGGTTGAATTGGTATAAAGCAAAGATATAGGCCGACTTCTCTACGAGCTGGATATGTGTAGGAATACTAATGCTCTACTACCATGTTATATCGCCTTATAATATTTGTATAACTTTGTTGCCAGCATGTATAAACCGATTACCTTGGCTGTATCGATCCCCTCCCCCACCCTCTTCTTTATTCTGTACCCTTCTCCCCCCACCCCCTGATGTTTAACATTTAAAAAACTCGAATTTTCAAATTCGGGAAATAAAAATTTTCAAGTGAAAAAAAAAAAAAATATATATATATATATATACACATATATATTCACATACGTATATATATATATATATATATATATATATATATATATATATACATATATTAATTCTACATATATATTTATGTAATATTTTACATAATTGGGTATCTTAATTAATTACAATTAGCGGGACCTGCCTGACAACCCATGCCGAAAGTAAATGGAATTTAATTTGCTAGCACTATATTTAACCCTATAACTTTCCAAGACACCATAAAACCTGTACATGGGGGGTACTGTTATACTTGGGGGACTTCGCTGAACACAAATATCAGTGTTTCAAAACAGTAAAATGTATTACAACGATGATATCGCCAGTAAAAGTGAAGTTTTTTGCATTTTTCACGCACAAACAGCACTTACACGGACGATATTATTCCTGCGATACTTTTTACTGTTTTGAAACACAAATATTTGTGTTCAGCGAAGTCTCCTGAGTACAACAGTACCCCTCATGTACAGGTTTTATGGTGTTTTCAAAAGTTACAGCGTCAAATATAAGGCTTGCATTTCATTTTTTTCACATTAAAATTCGCAAGATTGGTTACGGTGCCTTTGAGACCCTATGGTAGCCCAAGAATGAAAATTACTCCTATGATGGCATACCATTTGCAATAGTAGACAACCCAAGGTATTGCAAGCGGGGTATGTCCAGTCTTTTTTAGTAGCCACTTAGTCACAAACACTGGCCAAAATTGGCGGTTTTTGCATTTTCACACAAACAAATACTAACGCTAACTTTGGCCAGTGTTTGTGACCAAATGGCTACTAAAAAAGACTGGACATACCCCATTTGCAATACCTTGGGTTGTCTACTATTGCAAATGGTATGCCATTATGGGTGTAAATTTCATTCCTGGGCTACTATAAAGTCCCAAAGGCAACGTAACCAATCTGGCGAATTTAAATTTCAAATGTAACGTGCTATATTTGACCCTGTAACTTCCCAAAATGCCATAAAACCTGTACATAGGGGGTACTGTTTTACACGTGAGCCTTTGCTGAATACAAATATGTGTATTTTATTGCAGTAAAAGAAAACAGTATTATGACATTGACCGTTAAAATGTCATGTAGAACTAAAAAAATAAAAAAAAATCTTATTTTCTCCTATTTTTTTCATATTAAATTATGTTTCATAGCTAAATATTTGATATTAAATGAAAGCCCTGTTTCCCCTGAACACAATGATATATAATAAGGGTGGGTGCATTTAATATGAAAGAGGCGAATTACGGTTGGACAGACATGTAGCGCAAATGCCAGGTTTTGTTTAAATTTTGTTTCGTTCACAATGTGTACATTTGGCTCCGTCCTTAAGGGGTTAAAAAGAAAGAAAAAAAACCCAAAAAACAGCAGAGTAGGGCATGCAAATATAGCATGGCACTGGATGAATACATTTTAGGGTGTTTTTTTTTTTTAACAAATATCCACATTGGGTAAATTATATTTTGTGTGTGTGTGTGTGTGAATTTGATCTTTGTTAATGTTTATCTATGAACTTAAAAGTCAAAACATGAATAGCATGTAATGTGACATGACAATTTCAGAAAACCCTGTAATGTGATAGGTTCCTTATTCAACTGGCTTAGAATTTGATGATGAGATCATCAAAGCAAATCCAAACATAAAAGTCAAATAGTACAAAGCAAACCATTTAACAAGGGCTAAATGGACGTAGGCCTCAATTAAATTTGTTTGAATCTGCATCAAAAATGACTATTCTGTTAGAAGAAAAGAAAAACTTTTCAAATGATGTATCTGCAAAAATTCCAATACACTTTAATAGTGACTTTTGTAGATAAATCGCTTTAAAAAAAATTCTAACTGAAAGGAATAATTTCTGAGGCTGATTCAAAAAAATTAAATCAACCTTAATTATGTGTTTATTTAATTATGTGTGCATGCAATATTTCTTATACAGAATAATACATGGTGCAGTGTAAATATTAGTGATTATATAAAGGTCAGGGACTACTGGCAATACAATAAATACTTAAACATATGTGTAAACCATTAGAACTCTGCCCATGACATTATCCTTTAGTGATGTGCTCCAGACCATACTGGCATTTTGTAAATAATCATAGTACTGCTTATATGATATAACAATTGTAGTGCTTGGCTTGTAAGCGTATTACATAAAGGCGATAACTGGGGTTCAAATAAGAGTTAGTTGGATCAATTATTAAAGATACTGTTTAGGTTGCCAAGTATTAAAAATTAATGAGATGCTTAGCAAGTCATTAGCAATGATAACTGCAGGAAATGTGCATTATCTCTTGCTGAGTTTAGGGGTCTGTTTCCAGAAAGATACAATAGAGATGTGCTACAATTGTAATAAAAATGAGTTGAATATGTTTGAGTTTGCTTATGATATACAAGGTAAAAAAATGTAGTGGTTTCGTAGGGTATTTTACACACATATAGTAACATATTTTAACAGGGTTATTTACTAATGTGCAAATGTAAAGTGAATACAGAGTAAATTTAATTTGAGGCCACAATAGTTGAAATGGAAGCATACTTCACTTCCGGTATGGTTATTTGTATTCACTTAGAATTTTCCCTTTAGTTAGGCTGAGAGGTGAGAGATGAGAAATAAATATTTAGCAGAGTAGCCCTCTACAAATAAAAATATCCCACTGTACGCAACAATGTAATACAACATCTAGCATTTAAGGGACAAATCAATGTAACAAAACATGAAGGATTGTTAGTTTGCTTGTTTTGTACTTAAAGGGACTTAATCTTAGTGAAGAGGTGAAGTAGTGTCTGGAGTGCACTGATGCAGACCTTGCATTTAGCATTAAACTGTTTTAATGTTTTAATACTTGACAAGAGTCCCAAATAAGCCATTTCCTCTGTGCTACTTTTGGCTAATAAGCATTAACCTTAGCAGTAATGGGTTGCAGTGATTCACAAAGAGTGTCAGCTGACCAATTTCAAACTATCACAAAGCCTATTGTTGTTATGTATCGGTATGGCTAGAAGGGAGTGTGTAATATGTACCTTAGCCATAACTCCAGTAATAAATATCGTTGTTTTTGTGGCAAAATTGGTCCCATAGGAATGAATGGCGGAATGTTCAAAACTAGAGTGGGAATTATGAGACGCATAGATGATAGGGAGGGGGAAAAGGGAGATACCGTCGGCTAGTGTGAAAATACATTGCGTCATCACGGGAGGGGAACCCAGTGACGACCACAATGAGTAGCACACTACCTGTATGTGAATGAGATGGCCAGCTTGTCTGTCCAAGCAGACATGCTGGTGCATCTAGTAATAATAGGTGCTGAGTTCAAGACCTGCAAGTGTCCTCAAATGATATTAAAAAGCATGTGCACAAGCATAAATTGTAGAACAAGGCTAAATGAACTAAAAGGGATCTATGTTCCCATGATTCAGCAACATTTTGAACTGATATAGAAAATAACATATTGAAAGAGATATGGTTATACAGGCTGTATGAAAGACATCTCCAGTATATTGTAATGTATATGCGTAATAACAAACGTACACATAAACAGATAAAACAAAATTATACAAGAAAAATGTATGCAGTGTATAATACTATTACATTAAGTAGGAGATACATATAAGGTAAAAAGAACAAATAAGGAATGTATACATGAGTGAATGAAAATATGATGGGAAATATAAAATAGTACAAAAAAATATAGTAAGAAAAAAAAATATAGATAAAAATAATAAACTAATAAAATTGGATAATAAAAAGTTAAATTGACATGTATCTAGGATTATATAATTATAAGAAATTAAAAAGATCAAAGTCTATATTGAGACCCATTCCATTTCCTTACTTCCTAAGGTTTTCTTAATGTCTCCTCCTCTCCAAAACACATTACATATGTCTATGCCTATACATTTAAGGTGTTTAGGGTTTTTTCCATGTTTTAAAAAAATGTTTAGACACCGAGTGGTTTTCATAACCCCTTGCAATGTTCCGCTAGTCTAGTTTTAAGGTTTCTTGTAGTCATGCCCACGTATTGAAGTCCACACGGACATTCTAGTAAATAAATTGTATTTTTTGTATTGCAGTTAATACATTTTGTTATAGGGTATG